TCCCCCCCTTGTCCTCCTTTCCCTCTCCCTAGGGGGGGGGGGGGGGGGGCTATTTTGATGCAAATTAAGGAAAGCTGAACGTTGTGGATAATAGCTCAGTGTTAGAACCATCTACTCCAGTATTTTCTGTTTATATATTCAGTAAATGAACACCATTTAATTCTGTGAAGAAACCGTACTAAACATTGTAAACTAAGCTGCACAATATCAGCAAAGACATGTTTTCCCCTAAGATCATTAAAACTCCAGGAATAACTTTCTGTGAAATACAACACTTGGTACAATAGGGACAGAGTTAGCAATAGCAAACATTCCACACTCTGAACATCTGAGAGCTCCGGCCTCCCTCCATGCCGAATCTTACAACGCTCTAATTGGCAAAGAGCACTTAAAGTATATGTCAAGGCAAAGTATAAAAACCAAAAAACCAAACATATTGAGCACATCTCTGGAACACACGAACAGTCTCACGGGATTTATCCCATTTGACATGCTGCAAAACAACCAGTGATGCGCCAGAAATATAGTGAGTTCCTGCCTACTTCTTGGCCTCATATCTTTAAAATCCCTTCATATCTCCATAACCAAACCCCTTCCTCGTCCCCATAACCAAACCCCTTCCTCGTCCCCATAACAAAACTCCCTTCCCCGTCCCCATACCAAAACCCCCTCCCCCCCCCACACCAAACCCCTTCCTCGCCCCCATAACCAAACCCCTTCCTCGTCCCCATAACCAAACCCCTTCCTCGCCCCCATAACCAAACCCCTTTCTCGTTTCCATAACCAAACCCCTTCCTCATCCCCATTACCCCCTCCTCATCACTTCACCTTGTGCACAGCACAGGAGCACATGAAATTAACAGTTATCAAGATTTCTGGCAGGATCAACAGACATTTTTGAACTAATCAAACAGATATAAAAACACCTTTAATAGAATACTTAACAGAAGATGAAAAGGGAGCAAATAGGAGAAGGATGATGGATGATGATAATGGGGCTTACATATAGAAAGCTGGGACTACTGTCACATAGGTTGGACCATTAGCATCTCCCGGTTACCGAGTTTCAGGTATTGGGTTGGCTAACTCGAAGGGGCTGATTTATCAATCTACCAGCTGTATGCTGGGCAAATGCCATTCGTATGGCATTCCCTCTACTGGATCCAAGATGGCAGGAATACCGTACCAACATCTGATAGATCAGTTTTACGTGGAGATCCCAAGCTGTGCATCTGAAAAGAATCCAGTTGTCACTGAAACTACCATGGTTATTCACAGAAGGGTGAAGAGTTTGGAGAAGGCAGGAGAAGTGAACAATCTAGGACAACAAAGCTGAACTGGAAAGTGAGCTGAATTGGAGAATTTTTCCAAATCAGCTATGTTGTCCTAGATTGTTCATCTCTCCTGCCTTCTCCAAACTCTTCACCCTTATGTGAATAACCCTGTAGGTCTTCTCTCTCAAAAGAGATCCAAATGTCATACCCTACTTTATATGTTCTACCTACACAATGTTACACAGCTTCCCTTCCAGCTCTGTACATGTGAATGGAACAGAATCCTTCAATCATAGTGGTAAATCTCGAGCAGAGTTAACAGGAGCGTGGGACTGTCCTCTCTCATGACCCCAGACTTGAGACATACCTGTCTCTGTACAGGTATGAACTGGTTCCAGACTGGAGTGTGAGCTGCAAGTCTCTGCACGCCACCATACAAACCTGCGAGACTCCACGGGGGAATGAGCAGGCTTATTTAATAACCAAATCCCCCTACCGTGAAAATATCTAGGAGAGCCGTCTGCTGTACATAGTTACCGTGTGTTACTATGCTGGATTGAGTTTGCATGCTCATAAACACTCTAGTGCAGGAGTGGACAAAAGAATATGGAATTCAGGAGCCAGCAGGCTTTTTTTTTTTTTTTTTTTTTTTAGGAACCAGCTCCACTGACAACTAGAGAAAAGTTGGGCGCCAGCTGTAATTTTTGGGGAGCATTGACGACCTGGTTCTGCGATTTGCCAGCCTTGGTTTGGTGTTGCACTTTATGACTCAACCGCTTAGCTAAACCCTTGATCTCAACACACTCCGTGCATTGTGGCGGGCAGCAGTGTAACAGAAAATGTGGTCTGATTTTCTATGTGTTAATATGCACCACCAGACCAGGTGGACCCGATTTAAAGCCCAATGTTAGTCTACGGGTAGCAGGATCTAAATGGACGTGCACCCTTAACATCCGATTACCCCCAAATCCAGCCGGGTCTGGAAAAACAAATGGATCAGAGTTCTGTTTTGCTCGGACCTGATTGTACTGAATTGGGGGTAATCTGATGTAAATGGACACATGTCCATTCGACAGGCACAATTATAGTGCTGAGGAAGGGAGGGTGTCTGACCAAGTCTTTTAGATTACAGATTACACTGGCGCCCAACTTTGCTTTTACATCCCACAACCTACTAAAGACTCATCCCTGGGGTGAAATATTAGCCTGTCCTGCCTGAGGGAAAATCAAACCCAACCCAACCACCCAACGGAAGCCTAGGAGCATCAACCAAAATGTTGGTGCACCCTACAAACCCAAATCTGGCTAATGTTCTTCAATTGCTGTCACCACATTAAGCCTGAAACCCCAACAAATACCAAACAAGACTGAACATTCTCAGGTGCCATATGGATACGTAAACTATTAGTAGTAATTTACTTTTATCCCCAAATATAAAAACCACTTCTATAAAAGCAGCTTCTCAAAAACCCGAAATAGGCTCAGAAGATCCCAGACCATGCGGCTCAGGCTCTTTTATTAGTCACCTCTCTTGGCAAATTGACATTGGCACAAATCTCTTTCATTACCTTTAAAATAACCATATATTGTAAGTGCGCGTCCTGAAAAATTCAGCGGCATTAATTACGCATTGCATTATTCATACAGCCTCGTATAATTTAATTGTGTTTCTCCGGATCGGCTTGGGGGGGTTTCACGGGCGTAATTTATGACTCTAACTCTACGTTTAGGATTTTATTGGCTGGATTTACGAGACTCTCCTCTCAGTGACAATAAATAGTGAATTGCGCACTTACCGTCTTTAAAGGAACCCGCGTGACGCTGCAGTTTTTTCTTTCCGAATGTTTTCTGGAAAGCAAAAATGATAAATAAAATTGTTATGCGAAGGGCAGATACGGACAAATGTGGCTTCAAAAACACCAATGACTTTAATAGGAAATAAAGACGGGAACTTCTTTGGATCCTACACCCAGCGACCAAGGTGATGAAATCTCTCCGGCTCTCATTTTTCATGCAGATTTGTTTACAATGTTCTGCTTAAAACAAACACACTTAATAGTAATCTAAATATTTACTTTTAAAGCTTAAAAACATTTAAACCAGCAAGTGGCTTCTGTATAAATAAAAAGCAGGAAAAGCCAAATTGAATGTGTATTTTTTTGGGATCATATTGGTACCCATGGGCAGAAAC